TTACATTACTTTACATTACATTACATTACATGACATGGCATTACATTACACTACATTACATTACATTACATTACATTACATTACATTACATTACATTACATTACATTACATTACACTTACATTACATTACATTACATTACATTACATTACATTACATTACATTACATTACATTACATTACACTACATTACATTACATTACATTACATTACATTACATTACATACATTACATTACATTACATTACATTACATTACATTACATTACATTACATTACATTACATTACATTACATTACATTACATTACATTACATTACATTACACTACATTACATTACATTACATGACATTACATTACACTACATTACATTACATTACATTACATTAGGCATTTACACTTCTAAGCGTGCCGACCCGCGTGCAACTCTCGCGTCCTGCTCGCCAATCTCTCACGTTGCCCACCCCACGCGTGACGTCACAACTCCCGCTAGACGCCGAATTCTCGGCAGTTCACGTTCGTGAAACATCGCCACCGCACAACACGACTCGCTCGCTCGCGCACGCGCTTACTAACAGGCTTATACTCGCGCTGACTACGCCGTTATATGAGCTGAACATCAATACTTGCTGCAGGGAGCACGCAGCGGCGCCACTTCTCCACGTTGAAATTTCTCGATGCGCGGACGATCGCTGCGCCATCTGCCGGGAGTTACACACACGCACGCTCTCGTACGCGCGCGCGGGGGTGGGGGCGCACGGTTGGCGCACAGATGTGTGCATAACTAACTACTGTTTAGTTTCCAGTAATCTGTAACGGCCATGCGGTAAACTGGTGTAATATCCTAGCGTCGGCACACGCGCGCGTCTGTATATATGAGGGCAGGAAATTACGCTCGTATACAAGCGCACGCTGTTAACGTAATGATGCGACGTTCCCCCAACCGGTCCACGCACGGGGTCAGATACAAGCAGCGACCCAGTATACGCTATCATTGGGAATTCGCATGGAGGATGATTGCCCCACCAAAACGTTTATAATCGGCGAGGATGATCGTCCACGTGTGTGTGTGTGTGTGTGTGTGTGTGTGTGTGTGTGTGTGTGTGTGTGTGTGTGTGTGTGCGTGCGTGCGTGCGTGCGTGCGTGCGTGCGTGCGTGCGTGCGTGCGTGCGTGTGTGTGTAGGTGAGTGTTTTTGTGTCCGTGTGCAAACATGCATGTGCTGTATACGAACATATAACATGGAACTTTTAACACTATTGCAACATCCTCAACTTTCTACTCGACCTGATGAATTATACTCACAGGTGCCATAGCATTGAAGAGATGTGTAATGAAAGATGCACCACTTCTTACTGATGCTTCTCCAGTTGGCAGGTTAGCTCCAGAATGACCTGGAAATCATCCATCCAATGACAAACATGTCGCGATGAGTTTAATGAAGAATGAACTCAATCAAACTGTCATGAAATCAGGTTATATACAGTTATAGCATTTCAATAATAAAAGCAACAATTTATTACCCATGCAACTATCTTACTTAAATCTTCAGTGACTGGAGTTGTGAATAATACTGCGTTAAGTTCACAAGTTATACCCTGCATGGTTGGATATTATCAGATGCACATATATATGTAGTATTAAATCAATCTAGGCATATAAATGAAAACATTTTCTGTTGCATGCACCTGACCAAGAGAGATTCGGATAAAGGACATTGGAGTTTTCGATAAGATTTACGAATAAGAAATGCTTCAACTTATTTACCAATTACTGACAAAATTTCTATTTTAATACATCAATGGCTAATAGCTGCAGTTAATGGTAGGACAAAGCATCCCATGAATGTAACTCATGGAGTAATCCAAGTGGTTAAAATGATAAGTTATAACTATTATCTTAGCAGTTCAGTTGTTCACGCAGATAAAAAAGACAGTTCTGTGCATTGTGTATGGAATCGCTTGAAAACGATGGTAGAATAGGAAGTATGATGCAGTCACATGTAAGCGTGTACATAACAGACATAAAACCCTAACTTACAACTATCAACCAACTGTAAACTACACAGCTAATGCTTCCTTACCTAAAGATACTTTAACACCTCGCTGTGCTAATTCTGCAGCAACCGTTGGAGCATTCGGGAGGTCTGGTGCTATTGTACACAACACAACATTGTCCAGTGTTCCATACATAGCCTCTACATCACAGAAACCCTTGTCGAATCGTCTGATGAGACTTTCTGGGTGAGCACCTTTCTTGGATGGGCATATGAACGGTCCCTCAATGTGGACACCTACGTATATATATCCGTATCGATCCGTATATCAATGCTGCAGCTGTTTAGTGTGATATTAACACCTTATTAAAACAAATATCATGTTTCTTATATTAAGTCTGCTAGACAAACCTAATGACCTAAAAAACCTAGACATTACCTAATATGCCAGCACCTTTCTCACTACCATCTCTTTGCGGTATTTTTGGAAGAATCTGCAAACAAAATCAAGACTCGTGATATATACACGTAGCTTATGCCACGGTTTACGATACAGGTAAATAATATACAAACAGAAGATACTATATTGCAGATACCAAGATTGACACAATAGTAGAAGTATTTGATATTACTTGTACCTGCATGAGAATGGTGTGATCTGTCTCTCAAATTACTTTAGGATATGTAAGGCGAGAATTTTTTATTTTGTTGGTTTACAGATCTGCCGACCCGAATTTTCAAGAAAAACGAAAAAAAATAAAAATTGAAAATCTGTATATTTTTATTCCCGCCGACCTTTTCTCTAAGAAATATGAATAAAAAAATGTAAACTTGCACAAACAATTTATAATAAAAGTAAAAATAATTACAAGTTGAGTTTTTTTTTCATTTAGTTTTCCTAAAATACTTTAATATCATGTATAACAGTATCACTGTATTTTGACTTGTTTGATCTGACAAAACGACAATTTTTTTTTTTTTTTACCCTACCGAGGAAACAACAAACAAACAAATTCTGTAAACCAACAAATTAAAAAAAGGTGGCCAAAGTGAGAAACTACCTGTTTATAGAGCTCCGATGGCGAGGTGATGATGGTTGGACAGAATGACGTAACCCCATGCTCCAGCAATCGCTTGGCAACCAAATCAACACCACTCCCAACATCCCCGTTTGTTGAGAAATCGATCCCAAATGCACCTGTTAGATTGCATAACGAATAGAAGATCGCTAGCTATTCTCAATGATTCAACATAATGTGATAATATTAGGAGTAAATAAACACAGATTTTTGATAACGAACAAGGCCATAATAAAAATATTGTTTGTTTGCCCTCACCCGACCGACCCGCCAAAAAGGGGCCAACTCAAAATATTTTTATTGATCTTTCCCATTTTTTTTTACAAATTGTATCACTGTACAGTGTACATTATATAAATCTGTAGGCAATACATTAATTATATGTACCAAGCAAAACAAATATTCAACATAAAAGGTATCTCCACACTTGTGTTTGTAAGCACACCCGAGCATGTAGACACCATGCTGAATTTGTAAAAAAGACCCCCCTCAAAAAAAAGCCTTACCTACCTACCCAAACTTTTCAGCCTGGGTCGGGTGAGGGCAAACAACTATATTTTTAATTGTGGCCCAAAGATAAAAAATAAACTAAAATGTAACAATGAAATAAACATGTAGCTCTACAATATACATCATGCAAAACTCTTGAACTTTACTCTGAGACCTTTACTTTCTGATATTTTACTGTATACACTGTAAGTCCAGTGTCCATTCTGTAAGCATATTTCAAACGTTGGTACAACTTATGTACATCATCACAACACTTCACACTATACATCACATACTAGAATTACCATTTATCTGGACGTCTATAAAACCTGATGCTAGAATTTGACCACCACAGTCCACCTGAACGTCTGCATACCCCTTCTCAATGTAAAACAAATGTTCCGGATTCAGTATACGACCATCTCGTATCCACAGGTCTTCCCAGAGTAACTGGTGGTGCCGTAGTATCCTGCAGTTTCGGAACTGCACAATTTCAGATTTATTTGAGCCTCGCGTTGGCATTATATCCTAGAAATGGATACTGTGGCCTGTAGCATTGAACTTGGCACAGATATAAACGATGTACCTGCAATGAAACAACATGAATTATAATTGTACCTTCCACTTCAAATAATTACAAAAGAATTGATTATTTTACAACAGTATGATCATATAAAGAATATATACTTCACACCCCCCTCCCATCCTGTAGGTGTTTGGTTATGACATCTCACCTTGCAACCCAACGTTTTCCTAGAAAACAACTCACTGCCATGGCCTTGCTGCAACCACAGATTGGGCTGTACAGTATTGAAGAGTTATTTAGGACCTGTTTTCATTGATTTGTGGATGTCATTTGATGATTTTCAGTGCATTTCACCATTTTCGGTTGTACCAAAGATGGGAATCCTGTCACTTGTTTTTGACACCTACTCACAAATGATACACTGCAACTATAGTACCTTATATGTACAGTACCTCTAGTACTATAGCCCTTGTTCGCCACAATTTACAAAGAAAATTGTGGCGAACAAGGGCTATAGTACTAGAGCCCTTGTTCGCCACAATTTTCTTTGTATATTAGCAGCTCAGAGTTATTAGCTCTATAGCACTATGAAGCTTCCACTAATCATCATTATCCAGCGTGCAGTGCGGCGGAGGCTGCTAGAGATACAGCACATAATACGAGTGACCGCGTAAATCGATGTGCCCATCCCCAGTAATGGTCAAGTTAAAAAAAGATTATATTAGATTGATTGATTTAGCACTATCAAATACATACATACATTTATTACATATATTACATACATAAATTTAAATAGTAATTATAGCTTGGGTAAATATGCTGATTATGATGGTCGTTTAAAGTGTGATCACCTAAGTATCTACACATACAAAAACTTGTAGTTGGCAGATGGCTAACTACAACTAACGCAACAACTGAAAAAGTACAACTTGCCCAACTTGCCTAGACTTGACAAGTCCTTGACAATCGATTGTTCAATTTGTTGGGCTCGTCACTTTCTGAGTCAGCCAGTCTACGAGTTGCCTCAATGCCTGTAACCACAGGCTTGAAAATGAGTACTACTATAAACGACTTTTCAATCGCGCTGGATGACCCATTGGCATTGTCATCGCAATACATTATTTCATTGATCATGTCATATGATAATCACATGATTCGAGTGTAGCCGTATTGACATTGTGACCACAGGCACTTGGAATGTCTCAATAAAAAAAATAATGGTAAATAAACACGAAATGTATTTACTACCAAAGTCTTAATGTTTCTCTACTCTATTTCGCCTATAATCACCTGTAAATGCCGGTCAAATGCTCATCTGCAACACACAAGTACACCACACCACAGGCACTTGGAACGTCTCAATAAAATAAAAAAGGTAAATAAACACGAAATGTATTTACTACCAAAGTCTTAATATTTCTCTACTCTATTTCGCCTATAATCACCTGTAAATGCCGGTCAAATGCTCATCTGCAACACACAAGTACACTGCACGCTAGCTGCTGCACACTGACACATAAATACAAGAGAGAAAGTGAGATAAAGAGAGAGACAGCAGGGGAGAGAAAGATAACGCAAGAGAAAGAGAGAGAGCGAGCGAAAGAGTGAGAGAGAAAGAGAGAGAGCGCGCGAAAGAGTGAGAGAGAAAGAGAGAGAGAGCGAGGGAGAGAGAGAGAGAGAGAGAGAGAGAGAGAGAGAGAAAGACAAAGAC